TGTGAACTCGAATGAATAGTAATGTGTTATTTCACATGCTAAGTAAACCAACCAAATAAAACCATCCAACGTGGTGCCTGTTTTCTGGTTTGTTGTAGCAATACTGACTACAATTTTTTTTCACTATCTCTCCTTTCCAATAAGAACAGTACGAGTCAAAATAATTGTACCCCTATTTATGTATTTCCAGAAGTTCACGTTTGTTCTCCAGTTTCACACATATAGAAGTGTTGAAGTCTTTAATCAATGAGATATTTGTAGGTGAAAACAGGAGGAGGCAACGAGGTCATCAGGGAAGAGCACTCCAGAGTGGGATCACTTCCTTTGTGAGGGTGCCATGGCCCCCTTCTCTCTTCCCTGTAAGGAGTCATAAAGGAACTCTATCTGTATGCCAGAAGAGGCTTCTCAACAGCACCAACTCAGTAACTTGATCTTGGACTCCCACAGTTTCAAACCTGAGAAATAAACGTTAGCTAGAAAACCTACTCCATGGCATCGGTCAGAACAGTTTAGGATTAAATACAGCAGTGGAAGATGTGTCTGCGCAAGATGGAGAGGCTGGCGAGCGCCGAGTGAGGGAAGCAATGTGGGATGCCAGCACGATTTTGGACACAGGGATATTTTAACTTACTCTCAGGGAGTGGATGATAAATGGAAATATCTAAGATTTAGGATATCATTACCCATTTTTTAAAAGATACGGCAGTGGACACAAGTTAGTGAAGTGAATTATTTGAGCTCATAAAATAACTTAAATAATGACAGGCAGAAGACAAAATTAAAATCCTAAACATTATGTTCAAATAATCAGGAGAAGACAATTGATTCATACTATAAGTCTCACTTCCTTATTTGACTTCAATTTGTATTTATGACTAATGGGCGAAAATATTTATTTATTTTCCGTTTTTGGTTTTTTGAGACAGGGTTTCTTCATGTAGCTTTGGAGCCTGTCCTGGAACTAGCTCTTGTAGACCAGGCAGGCCTCAAACTCACAGAGATCCACCTGCCTCTGCCTCGTCAGTGCTGGGATTAAAGGCCTGCGACGAGGTTGGAAGGTAGTGTCAAAGATTATATTAGGCCATGTCTATTGCTGTGACAAAATATCTTAGCAAGTCAAATGAAAAGTAATGGTGCATGTTGGCTCATGGTTTTAGATATATCTGCTTATGATATGGACCTTGAGACGGGGGTATGTAGTAAAACCCAGCCACTCTCCCCTATGTCACTCAGGAAGCAAAAGAGAAAAAACTCAAGGAATAGATATGCCTTCAAAGGCATAGCGCATCTCCCCTCATTGCCCTAGCGATGGACTTCATTAACCAAGGGCCCACCTTTGTATGTCTCAAGTCAATATCATTACTGTCCTTGTTATCTAGTTATTTCTCAATAGTACTGCTGGCTGAGGGGGTGGAGGAGGGGAGGTAAACCTGCAACATTTGGGTCTTTTGAGGTGACTCTTCATAATCAAACCATAATGGGATCTTAATTCCACATGCTAGTCCTTCTATAACTAGCAGCATTGAGTCATCCATGAAAGGGCAAGGGATATGGCAAAATATCGAGAAATGACAGTCGGTGTTGGGAATATGGCTTCATTCAAGAGAAGTAATGAGAAGATAGAGCAGAAAACTGAGCGTAGCCCGTGTGAAAACACCCTTTTTAAGGAGAATGTGGACCTGCACAATCTCATTCAAGTTACAAAGTTTTTTCCCACTCATTCCGTACAGTTCTAGTGTCAGATAACAAAATGAAAACTGAATAGCTTAATGAAAGCACTACAAGGAGAGCTTGAATACTCTCCAGACCCATCTGCACTTATGTTCCTTTCGAATGACAGTTTCATTCTTTCTCATTGCACAGACACACTGAATGTGAACCTTTTCTTTCCGAGGAGCAAAAATCCCAGGGAAGAGACTTGGTGGAAAGGACCATCTCCCATCTATTCAATAGTGACTGAGGCCTTTTTGTTTGTTTCATGCGTCTGACTTATAACCACTAGAATATTGCAAAATGGGTGCATTTCCAGAATCAGAACATAAGAACTGAGGAAAGGGGTAGTCAGCAAATCATTCCAGTTCCTTGTCTGGAGTTTGCTAAATAACAAGTGAATTAGGTCCCCCCACCCCCGGTTTTAAGTCTCAGCAACACATTTTAGTCTACTGATAAGATTTTATTAATACGTCACACAGGAAAGTGGGAAAACACAGAGATCTATTTCTGCCTCTGGCAATTCAGATAGCATGTCCTTCCCATACCAGGTAGAAAATGTTCTCTGTGATAGTGTTCCCCCTTCTGCTGACTTAGCAGGCATGGGAAGCTGAAGAGAGCAGACATATAAATCCCCAATTCTTGGGTATGTTTTCCTCATTCTTATGGCCCGTTCTCTCTACATCTGTTTCCGATATAGCATTGACCTCTGCTAGGCTCTGAAACAGGACAATAGTCACTGCTCACTATGGCATACTTCTGTAAGTCACAACTTTCATGTCCATTTCAGAGGTTTGAAAGATGTTGTTTGAGTGGCCAGGTCTCTTTCAGTGTTTCACTAACTCAGAACTGGAAAACTAAGGGTCAAGACAAACGGAACTGAGATTTAGATGCAAATTGTGAGTGTACTGACCACTTAATTGGTGGAAATAGTGTATGACCTCTACAGAGATAGTAAGACCTATGGATTGTAACTAAACTGTCCTTTGGTCAAGAATTATTCGATAAAACATGGTAGAAGCTGGACCATATCTAAGGGTCCTGCTACAGATGGGCAGTAATGGCAGTATGAGGAGTTTTTACTTTCCAGTACTGAGAGTTGAATCTAGGGTTTCACACAAACCTTAAAGATCAGTGCAGACAAAAACATCACCATAACTGGTAAAACTAGACAACAACTTGAAATCCATCTAATCTTTTTCACATAATCGGAGCTACAATGTAACTATTATAATTTGTTTACGTATACAAAATAACTGTCACCAGAAACAGGACTCTAACAAAATGTAGAAGATTGAACTCCCTCCAGTCCCCTAGAAGTAGCTTGTGTTTGGTCATTTAAATTGCTATTGTGGCGACAGATGTAAAAGTAAGCAGGTTTTCTAGAGAAGAGTTACCCAAAGGTAATCATAAGCTGATGAAGACAAGCAAGCCGGCTTGAGAATGCCCTGAATGAAAGGAAAGAAATCTGAGTCAGAAGGCGATGAAGAAGGAAGCAGAAGTGACTCCCCAGCCCTGTGTGTGCACCTCTGCAGCCAGTGACGTTCTAGACAAGTCTCCATCTCTTGCTCTGGGCTTCATTTTTCCCTGCCCTATGCTGCCTCTGGGTAAAAAACACGTTCAGCTTGTTGACCTGCAGTGGGCCTGTTACATGCAGTGGGTCCAAGGAAACCATCTGAGCTTCAGCCTTCTGTTATTGCCGCTTGCAGCTGCTTGGAAATTCTTAAGGGATGGGCTCACAGGCAGAAGATGTGGGAGATCAGTAGTGGTGCTTGAGGCACCAGGGTGGTTGGGTTTTAAAGCACCCTTGATATTCCCTATTTATTTATTCGCTGCTTATAGAGATGGCAAAGAAATTGCCTACGTAGAATCATACCCTCACACATAGCAAAGCTGTAACCCCGGGCTCTCAAGGGCTGCGGCCCAGGCTCAGAGCGGTTTAGAACTGTGACCCTGCAGTCCACAGCAGCGCCTTCCAGGGCATTTTAGGCTTAGAGAAACTAGTCTCACAGCTATCATCGACGCAGAGTAAATCACATACTCTGCAAAGTGAGAGCAGGGACAAGGCCTCAAACTGGCTGTGCTATGGACTAAGCCTAATGTTTTGAGTCCTGTGGTTACGACCTGACCTCCCAAACTCCTTCACAGTGCACCGCGTAGGCTTGATATAGTTCGCATAATTTCAGAATAGAAGCATGCGGTTTTACAAATACGGAATTTTAGTTCTGCATAGCGTCATCTTCGGAAGGTGGGAGAAATGGCACTTTTGGAAAAGGAAATATTTCAGCTTACCTGCGAGGCTGCTGGTTACCTACAATATCCATTTTAAATTACTAAGCATGGAACGTAATGGGGTTCTGGAGAGGAACCAAGATACTTTGTCCAAAGCAACGTCAACTTTGTATTTCCAGAAAAGTCCTGTGTATGGGCTGACACCTAGGAGCAATAATGAAAAAGGTATTTTCTTGTATCAAATAAATAAATAAATAAATACATAAAATTCTTCGACCGGCATTGCCTCCGGGGTACTGATTACTCCTCGGGCCAGCTGTCCCGGGCCTCTGCTAGGGCAGCCGCAAGGGGAGCGTTTCATACAGTGAATCCACTGAATCTTTCAGATTTCTCTTCCCCCAAACCACCAGGCAGCTCCCTCTGCCTGACAGGTGTTTTCCCAACTCTAAAGGCCAAGGATTTTGGGGAGTGTCTGAGCCAATAAGATTTCTCCTTGGGGGGGAGGGCGTGGCTACGTGGTCAGAGCAGGGGCGGGGCTTGTGCAGCTGAGGAGAGCCCAGCTGGTTGCGTGGAGGGTTGTTTGATTCCCACCCCCTCTTCTTTCTTTTTTCCCTCTTTTTTTTTCTTTCTCCCCGAGTCTTATTAATTTCTCTGTAGGGCTGCGGCTGGAGACCGTGGGGGCGTTGGAAATGACGCTCGGAGCTTTAATTACCGCAATGGCTGGACAAGTGTGAGGAAAACTGACAGGGGGGAAAAAGGGGGACAGGATCGAGGAGAAGCAAAGAAGCACCCCCATCCCTTCTTTTCCCTCCAGATTTGGACAGGAGGTGCAAGGAAACTGGAGAGAGAGCTGAACATAGCCCGGCTTTGGGGAGAGAGGCCGGAACCCTGCCGCCTCTTTGCAATCAACTTTTTTTGGAAGCCTTTTTTTTCCCCCTCTTTCTTTTTATTGTTGACCAACCAGTGAGAGAGGGGGAGCGAGCGAGCGAGAAAGTGAGGAGGGAGCGAGCGAGCGGAGGATCACTCGGGGAAATAGCTGTACAGTCCTGCCTGGAGAACCAGCCACACAGCACAGTCGCGCTCACTCCCACCGGCGCGCACTCTCCCGCGGTCCCTCGCCGGGTCCCCGGGTCATCGGGCCCTGGAATCCACCGGCGCCGACTGACTCCTTCGCCAACCCCGGGAGCCCGTGCACCGAGCGCGCCGCGCCCGCCCCCCTCGCGCCCCCCACGCGCTCCCGGCTGAGGGGGAAAAGCTCCTCCGCGTGCCCGCAAGGGGCTATGCCATTTGGACATGTAATTGTCTGCGCGGGATCTGAGACTTGCCCAAAATGAAGCTGGCGACGGGACTGTGGGTCTGGGGGAGCCTTCTGGTGGCAACGGGGACCGTCCAGCCCAGCGCTTCGCAGTCAGGTGGGTCGCGCGGTCTGGTCTCGCTGTTCCCTCTCGCGCCCCAGCTGTTGAACCCGCCACCGCCTCGGGTGGCTCCCTTCTCCTTCTCGGCCCCATGTCACCCACTGGCTTCCAGGCTCGAGGGACCAGAGGGACCGCGGCTTCTGGTTTGGGTCGCCCCTCGCTCCAACCCAAACTTACCTTTATGTGTGTGCGTGCATGTGCTTTTATTGATGCTGCAGATGAGTCCGCTTTCCTGCCTTCCCCGGTATTATTTTACACCCCTCCTCCTTCTTTAGCCCCCTTCTTTCTTTCTCGCGCGTTTTCTGGGAGCCTAAGCGGGATCGCTTCTGGTGGCGCCCGTTGTTCGGGACGTGGGAGACAGGAGCTGGTCAGCGGAGGTTCCTTCCTCCTCAGGCTGGGCAGAGGGAAAAAAAAAGAAAAAGAAAAAGAAGAAGAAAAAAAAAACCCAAACAAATCCAAACCCAGATAGAATTGCTGCACCTCTTTGGCCACAGAGATGTCTCTAGGCTGCTCCTGCCCAGCCTTCCTGGGGTGCAGGGCTGCAGCGGGTGGAGCGCGGGCCGGGAGCCTGGCTTGGCACCTGAGCGTGCTTGCGTGCAGCGGCCAGCCCGAATCTCCCATACCCGGCGGGGTCACCCGGGACGCGGAACCCGGCCCTGGCAGCTGGAGCGCAACTGATGCGCGCCTAGGCCAGCAGCCGGGGTCACTGTTGATATCCAGGAGCTGTCTTGTAATTGACTTTGGGGGCGTTTGCTCTCTCCTGCCTGCAGGATTTCCTAAAAAAAAAAAATGCCTTGTAGACCGAGCACAGAGCCCGACCTTCCCGCCAGGTTCAGGGCTTGCTCCCGGAAGAGTTCTAACTTGAGGTTGGCCTGAGTCCCTCCAACTTCTGTTTACTGCCCGGCGGGGCTGCTGAGTCCACGGGTGGCGCTCAATGACTTAGTCCGCGGCGGGCGCCGTAGCTGCGCCCCGAGATCGGCCGCTGTTGGCGGACCGCTCGAGCCCCAGGTATTTGGACAGAAAAAAAGGACTAATTGAGCCCAAGAGGTAGCGCAGTGTCACTGGCATGCCGGGGCGCCCACGGCCAATGACAGCAGCTCCGGTGCCATGGAGCTCAAAGTTTTTTTTTTTGTTTTTTGTTTTTTTTGACACTTGGGAGTTTCCCCGGGATAAGAGGAGGGGACAGGAAGGGAGCAAGGAGAACCGGTGTGTCTGACGCGACCAAAAGGGCTGACAAGAAGGCTTTTGGAGAGGCAGAGAGATTTCCGGAACCTTCCGGGGCTGGTGGCAGGAGCGTGGGAGTCAGCTTGAAGAGATAAAGCATTCAGGAGTGGTAACAGGGAGAGCTTTAGGTCCCCAGAGGGTGTCCTTCTGACCTCACCGAGAAAGCAGCAGCTAGCTAGTTTTCCCGCTCCGCCCGCCCTCCCCGCCTCCTCCTCCTCCTCTTTGCCTAGTAAATAACAAGTTACAGTCTTAGAGCCGTTCAAAATGACCTTCGAAAGGCACATGTGCGCCATTTGTGCTGGCCCTTTGCACACTCCCAGTGACTCCGAAGTTCTTCGTGCATACCAGATAAGGTGCTCCAGCCACCTCTGGAATCATAGCAGCAAGGATTTGGGATTCCAGGCGGCCGCCTAGATACATGCTTTTCCTAGCTCCCCACTCGGAGCCCTTCGCCTTTCCCCTCAATGGGCTGATTATGCACATTGACCCATTCAAAAACACTTGCTACTGTCACGCAGGCTTAGCCGAGAGGAATTTCTATCAGGACACCCTACCAGGGGGCTGTCTGGCGTAGCCTGGGCCGCTGGGGGATCCCCGCTTCGAGTCCGCAGCAATTTAGTATTAACTATGCAGTTCCTGGTAGTGCTATGCCGAAAAGCCCTTTTCAAAATTTAGGGCAAGGAATGTAATCCAAATTAGTTCTGCAGCTGTCTCCTTCCACATCTCAGACGACACCAGCTCGCGCCCTAGCTCTGCTCTGCTCTTTTCCCTGGACGAATTGTTAGACCCACAAGTGAGCCCATTTAGAAGCACGAGGATTAGCGTGCCATTGTTGTTCCGTGTATGACTCTGTACTTGAAATTCTGGGGGCACAAAAGAGAGCCTCACTTGTTCAAAACACAGTGATCTAGATGAAAGGGCCGCACAAAGAAAGGCTCTTGGGTGCATCCCTGGTATAATTGCAACAAGCATACTTGGGTGATCTATTGGAAACTGTCAGTGCCTCCAGGGACTTTTTTTTCCAGGCGCCCCACCGCACCTGGCAGAGAAAGTTCAGCTGGTTTTAATGTAGTGCTCTTATAAAACACGTAGCTGTCTGGGGAAAGTGAGCCTCGGTGTTTGCGGCGGTGCTGTGTATGTGTGTGACTGTCTATTCAAGTAAATACATACTGCGCGTTTCCTCTCGCGCGGTTAGCAGTCAGTAGCAGTTTGGAGGAGTTTGTTTTGGTCCAAATGAGAAATTAAGTGCGGATAAGTAAACTAAGCTGCCAGAGGGCGACAAGATGTTGAGTGAATTGCTTTTAGATGAAACAAATTAAGGAAACGAGAGAAGACAATCTGCTTTTCGCATTATTAGACACGCTTGGAGTTCAGGGGAGAGGGGCATATTTTTGAAATGCTAATTTCTTAAGCAGAAGGAATGCACCTTATTTACTGCTGTGTGTGAATGGAATAAAACATACAGTGCGAGATTCTCTCCTACGATCTTCAAGACTTTCTTGGGGAAACTGTACATAAGAACACTTGTTTTATTTTGCTTGAGGGAAAGCAAGTCAGCTTTTGAGTATTTTTAAAATAATACCGAAGAATTTTTGACTCATTACTAGTGATAAATTTTATCTATGAATGTTGTTAGATTAAGGCCTTTATATGACAATTCCACCCGAAGGAGTAATTCTAAAGTGCTTTTCTTCTTTCTATGGTGGGACTTACCAATATCGCTGCTGTACTGAAATAAAAATACACAGTAGTGTTGAAGTGACATCCTCTTAAGCCTCCATATGTGATGGACAAGTTCATTCTTGTCTTCATGTGCAAGTTACTTAGTCCCCTTGCTTTTCATTTAATGAAAGTGTGCATCTCCTACAAACTTAAGGTGTATTATTTTGCCCAAACTTTAGGTGGTATTTTACATATGAGAAGGAAATGTTAATAAAAGTTAAATGACAGAAATATTGCAGAGATTCTTTAGAACATATCAATCGTCTTTCCAAGTATATTCGCAATGAGCATGCCCACGGGTACACTATCATAGCCCCTTTGTTCCTTTAATTTTGAAAACCATGCATGTGTGTACAAGAGAGCTTTATAGGAGTACACGTTTTCCATTCAGAAGCCTTCTAAATAGATGGATGCCTCTCATTGTAACTGCAATCTACTTAAAAACACTATCGTTTCCTATAGCTGAGATGAAGTGATGACTGATTCTGTCAGGATTCCTTATTTTTCTTGTCAACTCAACTGCCTTGATTTTAATCATGCATGCATAGAAGTCCAAAATTACTTGAAAAAACCCAAGCACTTACAACTTTATATATATTCATATTTTCATTGAGTCCCTGGAAATATGTCTTAATTAGGAAATCACCTCAGAACATTTATTAGGGCTTGCATGTGATGGAAGATTTATGTATTTTTTATTCTAACCTGGGCACAATGTTTGCATTGGCTGATATTTTAGAATTTGAATTCACTTGATAGAAAAATCATATTTCTTCCTCAAATTGTATTCAAATATTTAGTATTCATGAGCTTTCATCTCTTTGATTCTTAAATAGAAGTACTGTTTATCATCTGTCTTATACATTCACCCTTTCTGTTACTATGGATTCCTTGCATATTCTTTGAGTTTACGCACATGTGAATATATATTTTACCTCCCACCACTAAGTGTATTCATTTGTGTGTGTGTCTCTTCCTGCAACCTGCCACTCAGCCACGGCAGGACTTCTCTAAACCAGCTTTCATTCTTTCTCTCTGACAAATCTGATATGGCTGGTTGGCTGAACAATCGTAAGCCATTCCATTGCTCAGATTTATTCCTGAAAGAAAATAAAACAACATCGATCCTACATCACTGGGGCACCTCCAAAGCCCGGACTTCAAGGCCAAATCTCCCCACTGAGAAGTACCTCTTTCCCTTGTCCTCTCCCTCTTTCCTCCCATTGACCATGGAAAGGAGATGACTGCCATCCAACAAAAGCTACCGACACAAGGAAGTGTGCTCTGGGTATTCTCTGAAGCCTGACTGCAACCACCTTGAGATTAATGGCTATGTAAAGTGCATGTTTTACACAATATACCAAATTAGCCTGCCTTTAATATTGCATTGCATTTGTGCTATATCCAATCAGTTATTAAGAAAATTTAGTTTGTGTTTTCAGAATAGCAATAACTTTTGATTTTACAGTGTTCTGCTGTTGTTAAATGTCCAGAAGTGATGTATAAGTATCCAAAATCTAAATGGAAAAGAAGGGATGTCTATTACCAGCAGGCTTATTGGCATTTATTGTTAATAGTTACATTGAAATTAGCTAATACATGTTCAAGTCTACAATAGTCTATAAAAGTGTCAAGAACATTCTGTTATCTTTTACACTGATAAGCTGAATGTACTATACAGAGAGAAGTTGATTGTAATACCAGCTTTCTGCTGGATTAGAGATATGATTATATCATAGATGGTCTATCATATTAACATTTCACCATATTGAACTAAACTGGGTCTTTTTTGTAATATTCATTTTGTGTAATATAGATATAAACAGAGAGAGATATTTAAATTATTTCTAAAAGAGTTATTGATAAGAGTTCACAATGAGAAAGTAGTTTAATTTTTTAATTTACTTATTTAAAAAATGATAGTTCAATGTTTCCTAAAGCCATAGCACGTCTACATAATTATAATGAGAACTTACCTGCCTATATTGTAATTAAGAACAGCACAGATCATAACCATATGGTTTAAATCAAGATTTCTTCATCCTAGACGC